AAAAAAAAAAAAAAAAAAATAAGTGAAATCTTTTTAAAAGTATGTATAGACATAAATTATTATTACATGTTTCTAGGATGAAAACAGTGACGTATACAAAGGAAGAAATACTTCCTTCTCCCATGGAGCTTAGGACAGACTTTCAAATTGCTTTGTACTAAATCATATACTATCTTCTACCAGATTCCAATGTAGGCATATGGTACAGAAAGCCAAAGTTCTAAAGGGGGTAAAAGAAGAATTGGGTTTTTTTGAGACAGTTTGACTTGGTCACCCTTGGTAGAGTGCTGTGGCATCTTATCTCACAGCAATCTCAAACTCTTGGGTTCAAGCTATCCTCTTGCCTTAGCCTCCTAAGTAGCTGAGATTCCAGGGGCCCGCCACAGTGCCCGGTTATTTTTTAGCGACTGGGTCTCGCTCTTGCTCAAGCTGGTCTGGAACTCGAGCGCTCAGGCAATCCACGCGCCTTGACCTCCCAAGTGCTGGGATTACAGGCATGAGCCACAGCGCCCAACCTAAAGGAAGAATCTTGAGAGACAAAAGAAATCTACACGTTTAGTTTTTTCTGCAAACTGTTAAAAACTCGCCACTAGTAACCAGTATGAAGGTTAAAAGTGAAGGAGCAAGAACAGAGGTTCTAATTCCACTACACCACAGATCTTGCACAATTAGTTTCATCTCTCTAGACTTTCCTTGTCTGTACTCTGTTGATGTATGGATTGAATGACGCAGTGCAGAGTAAGCTCCTGGAACATACCTTGGCATTTAATAAACGCTTGATAAAAACAGCTATTATTATTGCATATGTTCTGGGGGGTAGGTGGGAGGTCTGGCCAGCTCAAGAAACACCAGTATTTTGAGATATATCCACACCCACACGGGGATAAAAACCCTGTCCTGTTCCTCTCTGATGAGCCAGCACCCAGCAGAGCACAGGGCCTTGACATCTTCCCATGAATCACCTCACTCTGAATCTGTTACAAAGACAACAAAACAAAATCAACAGCAACAAAATCAAGCGACCTCCTCCGCCAGATGTTTATTTTACTTTGGCGCTAGAGGGCTCTTCGAGCTTACTCTTTCGCCGCTGCCCAAATTCACAACAAAGGCATCCGACTCAGAAGGAGCCTCTGGAAGGACTTCTAAACCGTGAAGGAGAACAGCCCTCCTACTCTAGCGGCAGGCCAGCGCCTCAGGTCCCCAGCAAGATTTCCATGGCAACGCGATCCTCCGCTCCTGCTCCGGTAGGCCCACGTCGGAGAGCAGGCCCCAGAAACCCTGAGCTTGCTCCAGACCTCGGCCCCAAAGCACCCGACAAGATGCACTTACCTCTTTGGAAGCCTGCTCAGCCCCTTCCCAGAACCTCGGCTCCCACCACGACTCTATGACTAAGCCAATTGGACTACACTTCCCAGACGGCTCTGAGCCTCTCCGCAGAACCTCGTCCTCCGCGAGCTTTCCTTGGGGGCTCTACGGCACATGCCCCTCGAGGCTACCGGACGCTCTGGTACTACGACTCCCATCATGCTCCTCGCCGCCCTAGGCGTGGCGACGACTTTGGGCTCTTTCCGGTCGGTGACGCAGTTCCGCTGTGCCGAGCGCGCGCGCGCTGTGGGCGGTGGGAATCCTACAGCTAGACTTTCACCGGAGCTTGGCGGCCCTAGAGCTCCCCATGGCTTCCTCACGGGCCACTTCCACGGTACAGAGCTCGAGATTAAGCCCACTTTGGCACGAGGCGCGGAAGGGTTGGGGGTTTCTGCACGAGGAGCCGTTAGGGAACAGGTTAAGGCGGTGGAGGGCTGAGGAAGGAAGCAAGCTGAGGGGCTCGGTGGCGTCTCGCAGAGCGGGGCGGCGTTTTCCCGATCCCGGAGAGCGCTTTCACGTGCCACAGCTCGTGAACAGTAGACACCTGTGGTTCAGAAACGGCGCTCTGAAATTGGAAGTGTTTTGGCCAGAATTTATGTCAGAATTCTAATGAGGCCTCCTAACTTAGAATCTACTCTCTCACGTCTGAAAAATGCTCGAAATGTATAAACCAATAACTTTGTAGTTTAGCACCGCTTGGGTTATTTCAGTTATCTTTGGTATTTCCCAGTGATGAGCAGTCACCCTGGAAATGGTCACAAAACATAGGAAGAGGCTGCACTTCAACAGACGGGAGTAAATATGTAAAAAAGCAAATCCTTTGATAGAAAAATCACCAGGAGAACTATACCAGTTTTACTAGTCTTATTTCCTATCTACCAAAGTTCAGTGATTGAGGACCTGAGATAACCCTCCTTGCAACCCCACAAATGAGTGAAGAACATCTTAACTGGTACCCCGCTTGTCTGAAGCTTAGGATGAGCTTCATCCTTTGGAGAAGCCCAGTAATTTGCTAAGATTAAACCTTAGGTTAATCCAAGTCTTTGATTTAGCAGGCAGTTAAAACTAAAGCACCTGACGACTTAGTTGCTCCTGTTGTGAAGAAACCACACATCTATTATGGAAGTTTGGAAGAGAAGGAGAGGGAGCGTCTGGCCAAAGGAGAGTCTGGGATTTTGGGAAAAGAAGGACTTAAAGCAGGAATCGAAGCAGGAAATATTAATATAACTTCAGGTAAGATGCAAATTTTGAGTCCATCTTTACCTTTGATGCTCCAGTTTTCTCTAATGAATACTTTATTAAACTTAAATATCCCCCATTTTGTAATATCATAACATTTTGACTTTATAGTGACTCATGTCTATAATCTTAACACATTGAGGGGTTGAGGAGGGGGGATTGCTTGAGCCCAGGAGTTCAGGGCTACAATGAGCTATGTATGGTTTATAGAGGGAGACCTGGTCTCAAAAGAAAAAAAAAATCAATTCTTAAACATGAATCTTTAAATCTGTAGAGTCATTCAAATAGTCTTTTTTTTTTTACAACTTACACAGTTTTTCATCCCATGAATTTACTGGAAATTCAGTGTGCATTTGGATTCAAATTGATTAAATTTGTCTTCTGGAGAACTAACATTCTGGCATTGGTTTGGAACTTGAGTGGTACATAGTATTCTCCCTTTTCTGGTTTTCCTTTTTTTACCCAAAATGAAATTTTTTTTTTTCATATTATAAAAGTAATACTGATAGTTGTTTTCATTTTAAAAGATCCAACACTACATGAATATGTAAGGTAAAGTGCCTGTATTAATTAGTTATCTATGTTTCTGGGAATTTTGATAAAGCTATAAAGTATATGATCTTTTCCTATATGTGAGACCACAATATATAAATTGTTGCATAACCTGCATTTTTACTGTTGAGGATATCGTTCCATGTCTGTAATGAGAGGTCCTCTGTATTTTCTAAATAAAATTATGTATGTTTTTCATAAGAAATTCAAAAGTAGGAAGCTGAGGCACATGGATTGCCTGAGCTCAAGAATTCAAGACCAGGCTGAGCAAAACCAAGATCTCATCACTAAAAAATAGCCAGCGCATTGTGGTGAGCATCTGTAGTCCTAGCTACTTGGGAGGCTGAGGCAAGAGGATCACTTGAGCCCAAGAATTTCAGGTTGCTGTGAGCTATGACACCATGGCACTCTACTGAGAGCAACAAAGTGAAATTCTGTCTTAAGGGAAAAGAAAAAGAAATTCAAGCAATACAGAAGCTTATAAAATGAAAAGACACCTGCAGAAAGGACTTCTGTCAAGTTTCTTGTTCATTTTCCCACACATTTTCTTTTTTTTTTTTTTTTTGAGATAGTCTTATCATGTCATCCTCGGTGGAGTGCTGTAGTGTCACAGCTCACAGCAACCTCAAATTCTTGGTCTCAGGCAGTTCTCTTCCCTCTAGAGTAGCTAAAACTACTGCTTCAGCCTTTTTTTAATTGCAGTTGTCATTGTTTCTAGCAGGCCCCGGCTGACTTCAAACCCACCTGCCTCAGTATACATGGCCAGCGCCCTAACCACTGAGCTACAAGCACCAAGCCCCTACACATTTTCTTTGAAATGAAGTGTGCTGTTTTTAGACATAGCCACCTCACCAACATACCTTTTTTTTTTTTTTTTTTTTGGAGACAGCCTCAGGCTATCCCCCTGGGTAGAGTGCTATGGCATCACAGCTCACAGCAACCTCAAACTCTTGGGCTTAAGTGATTCTTTTGCCTCAGCCTCCCAAGTAGCTGGGACTACAGGTGCCTGCCACAATGCCCAGCTATTTTTTGGTTGCAGCCATCATTGTTGTTTGGTGGACCTGGGTTGGATTCTAACCCACCACCTTAGGTGTATGTGGCTAGCACCTTAGCCACTTGAGCCACAGGCGCCAAGCCCATACCTCTAATTTTTAATCTGAATGTTTGTATTTGGTGTGGGTTTTAAAACAAGTTGCTGGATTATTCAGGAGACTTGTAGTCATGGAAATTTTATCTTCATACTAATTGTTTCAAGTTTACTAATATTTATGAGTTTTTATATTGGGACTGTTTTAGAGAATAGTTTTGGAAATTGTTAAAATAACATTTTCTGTTTTATTTTCTGAGTAGAAAACCTAGGTAACATTTATTAAAGATGTTCTGTATTTTTTCTTGTAATTCAAAATTTATTTTTAATTTCAGATTACTATGAGGATACAAACAATTAGGTTATAGTGTTTGCATTTGTTAGGTAAAGTCCCTCTTGTAGTTGTGTCCTGCGCACAGAAGGTGTGCCATATATTCTTAACATTGTACCCACTAGGTGGGAAAACACCAGTGATGTTCTATATTCTTTCTGATCTCATTTAAGCTGTGTGTTTATATAGGTGTAAGGTTGCCAAATGAAACAAAAGGTGTCTTAACCCATTTCTCTGCCTTTTAAAGCTGTGTCATTTAGGTTTATTTGTTTGGCATAATTTAGTAAACTGAAAACGATAAATTGACCAAGTGCGTTGGCTCATGCCTGTAAACCTAGCACTCTGGGAGGCTGCGGCTAAAGCTAGTGGATTCCCTGAGCTCAGGAGTTTGAGAGCAGTGTAAGCAAGAGTAAGACCCCATCTCTTAAAAAAAAAAACTAGCCAGGTGTTGTGGTGGGTACTTGTAGTGCCAGGTACTTTGGAGACTAAGGCAAGAGGATCATTTGAACCCAAGAGTTTGAGGTTGCTGTGAGCTGTGACACCACAGCTCTCTACCAAGGGCCACAAAGTGAGACCCTGCCTCAAAAAAAATAAAATAGAAAAGAAAAATTGTAAACTATGTCCACAAAGTGTGTAACAGATTAGGCGGTGGTAACCTTTCCCAAGGGGAATACACAGACTCCAATTGTTAGAAATTCTTTCCCCTGTTTGAAAAATCTGCTAATGTTGCCTGCTTGTTTTTGGTTATATTTTTTTATAGGAGAAGTGTTTGAAATTGAGGAGCACATCAGTGAGCGACAGGCAGAAGTATTGGCTGAATTTGAAAGAAGGAAGAGAGCCCGGCAAATCAATGTTTCCACAGATGACTCTGAGGTCAAGGCTTGCCTTAGAGCCTTAGGGGAACCCATCACACTTTTTGGAGAGGGCCCTGCTGAAAGAAGAGAAAGGTGCTTTTTTCTAAGTATTTACTTTTTTTTATTAATCACAGAGTTCATCTCCAAATTTCACTTGATCTTTTAGTTGAAACTTTGGTAGAGTGGATAGAGTGTCTCAGGTGATATTAACAATTATTTTTTTTTTGCAGTTTTGGGCCAGGGCTGGGTCTGAACCCGCCACCTCCAGTATATGAGGCCAGTGCCCTACTCCTTTGAGCCACAGGCACCACCCTTAACAATTTTTTTTGTTTTTTTGGTTTTTTGGTTTTTTTGAGTCTTACTATGTTGCCTTCGTTAGAGTGCTGTGGCATCACAGATCACAGCAACCTTCCACTCTTGGGCTTAAGTGATTCTTTTGCCTCAGCCTCCCAAGTAGCTGGGACTACAGGTGCCTGCCACAATGCCCAGCTATTTTTTTCTTGCAATTGTCGTTGTTTAGCCCCAGGCTGGGTTCGAACCTGCCAGCCTCAGTGTATGTGGCTGACATCGTAACCACTGTGCTTTGGGCGCTGAGCCTGATATTAACAGTTTCTAAAGGTATGTTTATGTGGTTTAGCCCATAATCTGAGTCTTAGGGCATTTTGTATTCCATTATTGATTTTTCTTTATAGAGTATGATGAGGATGCTGATGTACTCCTTTCCCTGCTTTCCCCATTGTGAAGTTTTGAGTTGGATAAAAATTTATTGTTTAGTTTTGAAAATGTAGGCATCAAATGCATTCCATGTCAATGGCTTAAGACATAATGATAAATGGCTTTTTAAAATATTATGGAAGAGGAGTACTTACCTCAGATAATGCTCCTTTAATGATTTTTTTTTTTTTTTTTTTGAGACAGTCTTACTTT